CATCCGAAATCACTTGTTACTGAACTGAGAACTTTTCCTCTGTCTAGCTAGCAATATCACTAGGAGTAAATGTGCTAAGGGGGAAACTGCTTAGCATTTGATTTCTCAAATGTTTTTCCTGAGACCCAGTCATCTTTACTCTGGGTAAAGGAAAAAAAACCCTTGGGTACCCCCTTTTACCTTGTGCTGTTGCTGTTACTGTGAAGATGTAGATAGTATGTGTGACTCTAGCTGTCATCAGATCATTCATGGACACAGTGCAACATCATACCTGTTAGATCATGGCTTTGGTTCTGCCAGGAGGCCTGGTGGGAGCAGCTGGCATGATGCGTGCTGCTTCTTGTGACCCATGTGCACCATCCTGCTGCCCAAGGCCTTGATGTAGCCCCCACAGGGTGCCCTGCCTGCACATTATCACACTCTGAAGAGCGGCCTATGGAGCACAAGAGAGAGCTGAGGGGAACATCCTCTCCTTTAATTCTGAACTCATATTCTGTAGTGGTGATTTCTGTGAGTGGTTGGTTGTCGTGTGAACTCAGGTATCTGGGCAGCGTTATGTGTGGAATATGTTGGCACGTTATGCTCGAGTCCTAGGGCTCAGCTGACGTTTATGAGCTTTATCTGCTACTGAATTAATGAACAAGGGCTTTATCAGCTATGAAACTTTGGTGACAGAAAATTCTTGGAGAATTGGTCTGGGACTGAAAGAGGTAATAAAAATCTAGAGCTTAGGCTTAGTGCAGTGACTGAAATAGGAAAAACCACTCGTACAGTGAATTGTTTGTTTATAAGCTATGCTTATAAATACGACTTAATTTTTTTTTAATTGATGAAATATCAGAAATGAAAATTTATCTAGATTTTCATTTCTGAATGGATCATGGGCTGTGGCACTGGCCGGGTAGGAGATGAAATCCTAGCATAGCCCAGGGTCCAGCACTGAGCAGTATTTCTGCAATCATAAGAATTTAACCCATTTTAGGTAGTACATATCCAATAATTTTCCTGTGCCACATCTCTGGCAGTGTTTTTTTGTGCATGCAACTTTGGCATTCCATCATTACCAGTTCTCTTCAGTCCTCCCAGTGGGGCATTCAGGGTTCTGTCATTCTAGAAGCCAGCCTCTTCCTGATGTTTCGCTGTGTCCCAGCCTCTTCCTGATGTTTCGCTGTGTCTCTGCATGTGAACGTCACCCACTCCGATGTCAGAATATTCTCAAAACCTGTGTCTTAAGGACCTGGATTAAGGGGCGTGTCCTTCCTCCTCTGTAGGCTGGCAGCAGTATGTTTGTAGCTTGTATCACTGAGGCTACATAATTGTCTTCAGTTTACTTTTGTACAAAATGATAGCACTCACTTTAAGGTAGAGACTGTTACCCTGTTTTTAGTCTGTTCCCAGTGCCTTGTAATGGTGCTGCATACATACAGTAGTTGAAATTAATTTGAGTCAGTGACTATCCTGCAAATGGACAGAACTGTGGCTAATCCCTGTAGGCTATGGAAACCACGCTTAGCTGTTCACAGTTGGAAATGGGTCTGCAGCAGTGCAGATGCTAGCTTACTTGGCCCTCTGTTGTGTTTTAATAAACTAAACAGTAAAGCACCGTAATAACTGCCTGCATGATACATTCAGGATTTGGAATGAATTAGACATTCATTCCATCGTGGATGAATTAGACAAGTGTTGTTAAGAGCTTGCATTGGGAAACGTGCTGTATCTGCTAGACAAACTCCAGTAGCCTCTAGCCAGATGGGGCTGTGAAACTCTGGAAATGAGACTAAGGCGACTGAAACACTGAATTTTTAATTTTAAAAAAAGTTTTAATTAACCTTACTTGAAATAGCCAGAGGTGGCTAGTGGCTGTTGGATTTGAGGGTAAAGAAGCATGGCAGAGAAGACAGGTGGGACAGCCTCCCGTCTGCGCGGAGGTCTGTCTGTCACTGCCACCAGCAAGAAGACTTCTACATCCTAATCCTCAGCCTCCTTATGCTGTGGGCGAGGTCCCTGCTGTTGCAGACCCCGCTAAGTTCCGAATCCCTGAAGGTAGCTGTTGTGCTTCTGTGAGCTCCCTCCAGTGCTCTGGGTGGGGACATGTCTTGCTCGGAGAGAGATCAAAGGAGAGCCAAGAGAGGGAAAGAGATGGAAAGTTCAATGTTGAAGGAAGGTGTTGGCCTTTTTTTACACAGCACAGGGAAGAGACTGGTATGTGGAGGGAGCGCTTACATTTGGTAGATGTTCTTACACAGATCAGCCACCTGAACCTGTGTGGGATATTTTTATTTCCTACATTTTACATTTCTGTTGTCTGTATTATTTACAGTAACTACATTTGACATCTACATATTGCTGTGTTTTTAGAAGCAGAGGTTTATTCTCACCTCTTTCCTGAAGCCCATGTTTTATAAAACTGACATATTATCTAGTCTAAAAGGGAGGGCCCGGCCAGGCTTGGTGGCACATGCTTGTAATCCCAGCTACTCGGGAGCTGAGGCAGGAGAATCGCTTGAACCCAGAAGGCGGAGGTTGCAGTGAACTGAGATGGCGCCATTACACTCCAGCCTGGGCAGCAAGAGAGAAACTCCATCTCAAAAAAAAAAGAGACAACCTGCTGTGCTGGGAATGCTTGAGAGTCTGAGGAGAGAAAATGGTGGGTGGTGGGATTTGGAACCTCTGTCACAGCATTACTTCCTGTGCTTTTCTGTCTCCACAGCCATTATTGTAGGACGTACTGATAAGAGCTCAGTAAATTTTCTTACATTGATGAGAACAAGAACAGTCTTTTTGAGCACTGGTTAACAGTTATTAAGGAATGAATAAAAAATGGTTGAAAAACAGGGAGAAGACCAAGTCAGCATGAATTTTGAGTGCTCTGTGTTTTGAACTTGAGATTTTTCCTAATACTTGTGACTCGCTGATTCTCCTGACTCTGACTTTCTCCAGCCACTACTTAGCAGCCGCAGAGCGGAAGGCAGTGCGCATGAAGGCGGAGACAGCCAGAGACTGGAGGAGAGGTGGAACCAGCTGGGCCTGAGGTGCTGCCTGCAGGGTTGAAAGGCCAGCAGACAGTTGGGAGCCAGAGCGTGCTGTGGTCTGAATGTGTTTCCCCAGATCATCTGTTATTACAGATGATCACCAATTGGATGGTATTAAAAGGTGGGCCTTGGAGGTGGTTAGGTCATGAGGATGGAGCCCTTGTGAATGGAATCAGCACCCTTGTAACAGCTGTGAGGGAGCTGTTTTGCCCCTTCCCCCCGTGAGAATGCAATAAGGGACCACCTGCGGGTGCCTTGGTCTTAGGCTTCCAGCCTCCAGAGCTGTGGGCAGTGCATTTCTGTTGTGGGTAAATGACGCAGTCCACGGTGTTCTGTTCCCAGCAGGGGTGGACTGAGGCCGTGTGCTCATCAGAGGGACGGCAGAGCAGAAGCAGTGTCCCCATGAGTTGTAGGCCAGGACCCTCGTCCCGGGCTCCGTCCACCTTTGTGTTGGATGCTGACGTCTTTCCCTTTTTTTTTTTTGGCATTCCTCAGTCATTTTGGTCAAGTACCTGCTCTGGGAGCTTCCTGGGGAGCGAGTGCATGCCAGGCAGTTAATCCATGTGAGCGCTCACGGTTGACTCAGACGGAGAGAGTTAGAGGAAGCGATCTCCGCCCCCGTTTCAAGGGGTGCTTCAGTGTTTCTGGGCTCTGGCGCTGAGGAGGCCCATGCTTTTCCGCATTCTTGGTGTGAACAGGTGCTTCTCACTCAGAGCTCTTTGCACCCTTGTTTCTGGGCTTCTGAATGACTCTGCTGTTGTCTGGGGCCTCCGTTTTCTTTTGACCTCGTGCCAATGCTTGTGGACACCTTTCATCTTGTGCCTTGCACTCTTTCTGTTTAGTCGTGTGATGATTTCTTTGATTGACTTATGCTTATATTTTTGGTTTTGTGTATCAGCAACTTTTATTCTGTTGTGGAGTGACTATAATACTTCCTTTTTCCCCTTTGCTCCTTTATTCCCCCCGCTTTTTAGGCAAATGTATTTGTCGTCCTTTCATGCCTTCTTATAATTAAGGTTGGTACACTGAAAACGCTTTGGAAGTGCTGTCCGAGAGTTGGGACTGGCTGACTCGTGTTTTCTGGAGGAATCTCTGCTGTTCATGTTTTTGGTCACTTTTTCTGTGGCTCCTATTCCCTGGGTAGGAGGATGTAATCCTTCTGGTAATATTGTGGGTATCTGGGGAGCAAAGACAGCCTGGGGTGCAGGGAAGGTGGTAGGAGTTCACGTGGGTCTCCTGTTTTCAGCACACGTGCCCCTGCTCCGGGTTGTTGCTGGTGTCCTCCAGAAACTCTGAGGCCCAGAGAGGTGAGCGCGTACCCCGTTAGGCACACCCCCCGCTGAGGCGGCGCCACCGGGGGCCCTGATGCCCGAAGCTTGTGCTGACCCCTCATGCAGCTTCCAGTGCTGGTTCTGGTCGTCTCTTCTTCATTCTTTTTGTTCTCGTGAGTTTATGCTTCTTGGAAAAGCCTATTAGCTGTCAGGATGCTGTGGATCTGGGGAGGAGAGGCACCTGATAGGTGGGCTTGCTTTCCAGTCTCTAACCTGAAGGGAAAGGCGGTTTTTGTATTTTTTTGTTAGTCTTGATTCTACTGCTTTGGTAGAAAACCTCACAGACTGAATAACTACATTCAATAATTCTCCTTAATGCAAAGCTGAAGGCTGTGTGACATCTGTTTTTCTCGCTGCCCAAAGAGCTTGGGCCTGAGGGTTGGTCGGGATGCCGTGCGCAGTCCTGGCAGTCTGAACACTGCGGGAGAGGACCTGGCAGCAGAGCTGCTTTCTGGGCGCCGCTTCTCCCTGCTATACTCAAGGCAGCAACATGTGTGTGCTGGGATCGGGGCCTCTTGTTTTCACAGATAGGTGCAAAGGGAGGTTTTCCTTACTCAGAGTATTATATGTCTGTCAGTTCGCAGTTGTCCCGTCTGTAAAACTGATGACTCTTTCCCTTTGTGTTGCATTTCTCCAGGTTGCCCGAAGCTCAGCAGAGAGTCGGAGGCTGCTTTTTAAACCTGATGCCACAGATGAAAACCCTGTACCTCACGTATTGTGCCAATCACCCTTCTGCAGTGAATGTCCTCACGGAACACAGGTTCGCTCGCTAGGCACCTGGGCAGCGGGGAGGGCGGATGGCTCTGTCCTTCAATTAGTGCGTGAAATAGGATGATGCCAATAGTCCCTTGGTTATTAAAGGATATGAATTTTAATTACCCCTCAAAATTAGTGCTTGAGAAGTACTGGTAAGAAGTCTTTGAAATGATGGTATTTCTGTAAAAAGACAAATCTCTTTTGGTGTCTTGCCTACAGCCTGAAGCCCTTTGGTTAACAGGTTGAAGGGTCGGTAAGTGTTCTGGGGTGTAGCCACAAGCTTAGTCAAGGGTCCTGGAATCATATTTCTCTCCGTTCTTAAAACTGGAAGTACATGAACCCGAGTTACATCAGCTGTAAGAAAAAGTATCCCATTTCAGATTAATACTAGGTTTTATACACAAAACGTTACGTTGGAGACCATTAGCTTTTCAACCTGAAACTAAAAACAAGTGCAACAGAGAATGCGCAAATGTTTTGCTTATTTTGTGAGGCAAGACAGTGTCTGCTTCCTGCGAATTGGAGGAAGATGTTTCTCAGCTGTTTCAGTTATTGAGGAGGATCTCGGTTGTTAGTGTTAAGAATTGATTTGTTTGAGGATTGGCTTGGAGGAGACCACACCGGGGCTTAGAGAACTCAGAGGCTCACTTTCTGCTTCTAAAAGAGACCAAAGATTTGTATCAGTGTTTTACAAAACATTTCATAATTTCTTTTGAAAACAGGAATTCACATATTTTCAAAACCATAAATGGAAAAAGTATTGTTTTAGTAGCATGAAGATAAATGCCATTTTCTTTCTAACTTAAATATTTAACTTCAGCCTAACCGAACATTTCAGCTTAAAGCCTCTTCAGTGAACAGGTATTGGTTGCCTCTTTAGAAGCACATTTGGGGCTCAGGTGCGGCACTGCGGGGGTGTCCTAGGACAGCTCAGACATGGCAGCACAGTGGACTCGGCTCTGGCTGCTCCCTTCAGGCTCTGCAGCCTTGGGCAGATTTCCTCCTTCTCTGGGTTTCAGCTTCCTTTCCTGAAGGAACTCATTCACAGGGATGTTATACGCATTCAGCTAAAACTGTCAGCAGGTCAGCTCAGGGTGAACATGCCAGATGCTCAGTGAATATTTTGTTGTCTTCTATTGTTGTTTTTTTTTTTTTTAAGACCCTGGATAGTTACTGTTTCCTGGGTGTGCTCAAATATAAAAAGATTAAGATTTGTTTGAACTTCCTATTTGTTACTAAAGCATCTGCAGCCCAGGAAAGGAAACAGCAGCCTTGAACAATGCAGTGAAAGGAAAGGAAGTTAGAACTCACAGCAGTCGCAGAGAAGGAAAACCCAAAGAAACCTCCCTTTGCACGTCCCGTTTGGGAGTGTGGGCTGTGTCCGCGGCACCTCCAAGCATCCAGCATGTTTCCAGTTACGCACTATGCCCCCTACGCCTGGGAATTTATACATTGAATGAGGTTTCCAGAAAGCACAATGCAAGTGTTAAATTTGTATCTCTGGAAGTTCTTCAAGAATTATTGATGGAGTGATGAGGAAGATGAACAGAAAGTTCATCTTTCTGAGGGCCTGTCCTAAAAATGACATTGAAAGTCACTGGGACTGTTTCCTAAAATGCAAAGCCATTCAAGAGCAGTGCTTGTGGGCGTGTGCTGCGTTTATCCTCTTCTCTGTTATTACCTTAATTAGTGTGTTTGTCAGGTCTTTATGAACGTGTAGCATTTTCCTGAAGTAACCAGAAGAAAGAATACAGGTGGGTTTTTGAGTCAGGAGGGTCTTTGTGCCTCCTTCCCAGGGCTGCCCAGAGAGTGGAGGGGCAGGCTGAGGCCCACTCTGGACAGCAGCCCCGGGGGCAAGTCACTGTTGCTTTAGTGCTGGGAGTCAGAGCTGCAGCGAGAGGAAGGTCCCCCGAGCCAGCAGGTGCCGCCACGGTGGAACCTGAAGCTTGTGTGCCCTCCTGAGGTCCCTGCGCCATGAGAGTTCCGCCTCTGTTGGCCACACATTCCTCCCTACGCCAAAGAGCACGGCAGTGAATTGGGGTCGGGCTTCCCTGTGCCAAGGCTCCTTCCTACTTCCTGCCTTTGTACTTGGATTCTTTCTTGTTCCTCTTGCCGGCTTTTCCATGTGTGTGACAGTCTTTAAGCTGCCACGCCTGTGGGTAGACTAATCTGCCCATGCCGTGGTATAATTTTTAAGGATTGGTTCAGGTGTGGTGGGTTGAAGTTTAAAGTCTTATTTGCATCTTCACCGTCCTTGTGTTACTTGGGTTTAAGTTGTAAGTGTGAGCCCTGCAAGTGCAGAATGCCAACTCTGAGCGTTTTAGCAACTCTGACCTTCCACGGTGTCCAGGGATGGAGGCAACACTTGTCCATGGCCAGCTATTTTGAATGAACTCTGAGTGCCATAATTTAGTCTGTAAAAACGATTTTTTCCCCAGCAGTTTGTTCTTCTGCGCTTGGCTCTGTGCTTGCGTGTGTTTTGTGGCTGCCGTCAGCCCACAGCCTGTGTCAGTAAGGACTGAAGAGACCCACTATGTACGAGGCTGCTGGCATCAGCAGAAGTGAAGCTGAAAGAGCCATCTTTGGTCAGAGTAGCTGTAACTAGCTGTTTCGTCTTATTGTGGCACTACTTTTTTTTTTTTTTTTTTTTTAAACTTCAAACTGAAACTAAAATGATCCACAAATATTTATAAAATTTCATTTCCTTTTTAACAGTATTTGTTCTGGCATTGTAAGAGTGTCTTGTGGATATTAAAAGGAGTTTTAGTTGCACACATTCCACTTTTTTGGCTTCAGGGCTTTTTTTGAGGGAGTGGTGATGAGGGTAACTGTTTAGTTTTGTTAATTTTTCTCTGCTGTACCATAGTTAGGAAATTTCACAGGTAACCCTGAAATACAAATAATGACCTGAATGGATTTTTCCTTGATTCTTATTTTGGTGGAAAAGGTCCTTATGTGGATTACATTTTAAGGGGTTGAAATATATTTTTAGTATCGTAAAATTTGATTTTCATGGGACCACCTGATAAATTCTCCAACACCTAGAGAATTGTTGGTAAAATATAAATTGCTCCTCTCTGAAGCCCTCATGTCACTCTATTCATGCTTTAGGAATGGATAGAGTGAGTAGTGGAAAAGGGAGCACTTCTGAGTAAACTGGGCAGAGGGGAGGGACATGTGTGTGCAGAACAGACTGCCCGTGGTCAGAGGGGCCGGCCGTGCCATCCACATAGTGGGGGTCCGCCTTGGGTGCAGAGCATCAGCTGTTCTGCCGGCAGTGATGGCTTGGGCAGTGGCCTTCATGCAGGCTGTCCTCTGTATCACTTGCAGAATTGTAGGTCTGCCCCACCTAGAGTGATGTCTGGGGCATTGATGTCTGTGAGTGCCTACCCTGGTGCCCAGCATGGTGAGTGGTCCCGTGGCTCCTCTGTCCTTGTGGTCCTGCTGTCCACAGAGTGCTCACTGTTGCCCCATCTGAGAAGGGGGCGGGGGACAGTGGCTGTAGTGGCTGCAGTGGAGGGGAGTCTGTCCTGGACCTTCCTCAGTTCCCCACCCATCTCCCCGGGTAAGGTGAATAGTGAGGAAAGAAGGCAGAGGACGTGTCCATGTTTAGAAATGATAGGAATACGTGCGGTGTGCTCCCGGGCTCACATCAGTGCAGCCTCACAGCGAGCAGGACACCTTGCTGTGCAGGTGTTACCCACAGCAGGCCCCTGAAGATGGTACTGCACTTTATTTCAGTAACCTCCAGCCTGGGATTGTCTCAAGGAAATGATTTTTGGAAAGCACAAAGTTATAGACAACAGATGTTGAGTTGTCTGTTGCCCACAAAAGTGCACGTGCTCTCGTGCGTGTGCGCGCTGTCTCACAAAAGACACACACCACATACCCACACTCAGACGTACTCTGACAGTTTCTGTGCTAATTTTTAAAACAGCATCAACATGATGGGCAGCCTTACAGAAATAATTATGAAGACTTATATATGGAGTTGATCAAATGTTTCTTGTCTTATTTTTTTATAAGTGGATATATGCAACATTACCCTTTTTTATAATTTGCTTTAGTGTTGATAATACCTGTTTAAGTGTGTGTGTGTATTTGTTCATTGAAGGTATTTCTTGTTGGCAAGGACAGACAGAGGTGCTGCACTGGCATTGTTATGTTTTTACACAGCGTAGGACCGCACCCTGGCCTTGGTTAATGAGACCACCCTCGTTTTGTAGAAAGCACGTAGACGTGAGTGGCCTTCTCGGAGGGTCGTATGTGCTGAGGAAGGGGAAGGCTGGTTTCCTAGTGACCGTTTGGTTTTCAGGATGGTGTTTGAATTGGTTTCACTGGGGGACATTCTCACTAGCTGCCTTGGCGGGGGATCCACATGGAATAAGGAGGGTAAGAAGCGGGAAGGGCTGGCACCACCCTGGCTCTCAGTCCTCCTTATGGGAAGCTATGTTTAGGTTGAACTCTCTGAAACTGTTAATATTCACTGTTTGTGGACTATTTCCTCTGGGTTAACCTAAACACTGTCTGTCTGTTCCCGGGGAGCCCTTGATGGACCTGGTGTCCCCTAGACCTCTGGCAGTGGCCGGCTTGGCTGTGGTGGTGCATTGGGAGGCTCCTGTGAGACCAGAACCGGAAATTGGCTTGTTTCTCAGTTTTGCTGTTAGGATTTTCATATTTATTTTAGGACATCGTTTACATAATGAGGATATAAAAGTATCTTTTCCTTTTAAGGGAAAACCTCTAGACTAGGAAAATTTGTTCCTAGGATGAGTGTGCCATGGGTATCATTTGAACCCAGCTCTGCTGACTAGAGACCCCTGTCTTCCAGGATGGGGCATGGTGACGGGGGTGGGGTCACCTGGGTCTCCTGGATGGGATGTGGTGACTGAGAAGTCACCCTGGTCTCCTGGACCTGGCATTGGCTGCCAGCGCTGGTGCTGCCTCCCCTCCTTTCTGTGGGCTGCACACTGTCAGATGTGTGGACTGATGGCACATGCAGTGTAAGGGACAGCAGACCCAGGGCCTGGCAGAGACCTCAGAGATCGCCAGTGAAGGGGTGTCGCGGTCAGGTGACTGTCAGCCTTAACAGACATGTGGGTGAAGAGCTGGACCCCTCAGAATCCTGCCCGTGTCCTCTGCCACAGCTGTGGGAACTCTGAGGACAAAGGTGACGCACGTGAGGACCCACTGTAGGGAAAGCTAGGCGAGGCACCGTGAAGGGAATGGTGAAAGAGGAACACAGGAAGATCTAAAACTTTCTAACTCCTTAATTTTGTCTTATGCACTCAGTTTCTTTGTCCACACACAGGGACCCCTTCCGTCCTTACGTGTTGTGAGGATTGAATGTAACAATGCTTTTGAAGTTCTAAAGCATAAATCAGCATTTGCTGTCTGCACGCAGGGACCCCTTCCTTCCTCATGTATTGTGAGGATTATACGTAACAAAGCTTTTGAAGTTCTGAAGCCTAAATCAACGTTTGCTCTCTTCTCTTGCTGCATCTCCCACTCCTCACCCCAAAAGCCATTGCTTACTCCAAGGCTGAGTGCTGGCAGCACGTAGGTGGGGCCTGCTTGCTGGACGAACTCACCTCTGGGAATGACCGCCATTGGCATGCTCTAGCTCTTTACCGGAGCAGCTCAGTTCTTGTTCTTACCACCTTGAGACTCTGAGATTATTGGACTCCATTCTGGCTCTGAGCGTGCACGTTTCCATTGGACATGTCTGCATGGCACTGATGTGCCAGAGGGCCTCGGCATCAGTAGGATCTCATGGAGACCCACACATGCTGTGCTGTGTGTAGTTACTCTTGCTCATATGAGAGCAGGAACGGGACCTCTCAGGGGTGGGAATCCCCTTTGGCATTTCCAGTTAAGCAGCGCAGATTTGGGATCAAAGCTGGAGCCTTCCAGATGTTAAAAGCAACACTCATGTTTCATAAATTCTGGCTGTTGCTCATGGAGATCAGAGAGCCACCATTGCCTCTCATTGCTAACCACAAGTGTCTCCCTTGCCACTTGCTGCCCAGTGAGGAGTTGGGGGAGTTCATGGAGACCAAAGGTGCCAGCAGCCCTGGGATTCTCGTGCTGACCACGGGCCTGAGCAAACCCTTCATGCGCCTGGATAAATACCCTACGCTGCTCAAAGAGCTCGAGAGACACATGGAGGTACTGCACTTTCATTCTCTGACTCGGAGTCCTTACCAAGGGTTAGTGGCATGGTCAGACTTAACTGTGAAAGAAAGTTTTATTCATGATTTATTTTAGAAGCCAGAACCAACAGAGTTTACAAAGAGTTTTTACTTAGTGGATTGTCAAAATGATTTTGTTAAATATTATGTTTTTCTCCTTACTCCAGCTCTATTAAAAAACATTTACCACTTATCTCTCTTTTACCCACTGCTGCTGGTTGAAAAGTTTCCAAAAGTTGAAACATGAGAACTGATTTTCAGATAATGTTGAGATGTCTTATCTGGATCATCAGCTACAAACAATGTGTGCATAAGTTATAGGGTAATACTGTACTAATCATTTAATGGATGATTATGCTCTTTTAATTTTGAATAACAGGTTGCAGCCTAGCAGAAATTTGGGTTAACGTTACTCTCTTGGCTTGAGTTGGCAAACCTTTTCTGTAAGGGGCAGACTGTAGGGTCTTCATCACAGCTCCACGGCTCTGCCATTCTGGACACTGCGTGTGAGCCGCGGCAGTGTTCCAGTAAGACTTTGTTGATGAAGCAAGTGTTGGCTTCCCCACCCCTGCTGCTCGTGACTGTTCTCTTTCAACGTATGTTTCCCCCAAGTCTGATGGCTTCATGATTTTCTGAAAGACTGACACTTTAATGCTGAGGGAAAAAGGGAATATTAAAGGTTGAAAAGTATTAGAAAAGTTTCAAGCTGGTCTGTAGAAAGTACCTTTTTAAGAAAAGCTTTTCCTTATGAAAGCTAATTGTATGTTTCTTTTACTCAAAGGATTATCATACAGATAGACAAGATATTCAAAAATCTATGGCTGCCTTCAAAAACCTTTCAGTAAGTGATTAAGCATATTGTTTTTTTCCCCCAGACATTATTGTGACAAATGAATGTAAAAGAATTATCAACTGAAAAAGTCAAATGATTAAAAAATGACTTGTGCTGACATGAAAGAAAAACAGAGTCGGCATTCTATGGCTGGTAAACTCCTTTTAGTGGACTCTGATAGAATAATTACTTAAAATTTTTAAAATCGCAGTATAATTGATGTTAGATCTACTTTAAAATTATTTAAAACATTTTTTTACCCTTCATTCGTGTTGTCTTTAATGATTTATTGCAAAACAGAACAATGGTGGTTCCATTTTCTCTGCTGTTGTGTTGTCTTACCAACTGCATTTTCGAAATATATGCCTTATTTTATAGCACAAGTTATGCTTTGTTTCTTCTCTTCAGTCTTCTATATTGGCAAACACTAACAAAACCAGAATGAAAATACAGTTTTGTTCTGTCCACATTTCTTTTTCGTACAAGTGGCAAAATCTGCTATATTTTTCTAAGATAATACTTAGTATTCCAGAGCAGTTGTGTGCGTTGCTTCTTTTGACTTGATTTCATACTTTCAAGCAAATACTTTCAATTCCGTATAATTAAGCAAATCATTCAACAGTTTATCTGTCTGAAGAAGTAAGATATAAAGCAATAATTGTCTTAAGGACGATACAAAGCAATGTGGCCAGAACTTAAGATTCTGGAAGTTTCTGTCTGTTAACAGTGTTGTTCTGTGTCTGTCAGGCCCAATGTCAGGAAGTCCGGAAAAGGAAAGAACTTGAGCTGCAGATCCTGACGGAATCCATCCGGAACTGGGAGGGCGATGACATTAAAACTCTGGGCAGCGTCACTTACATGTCCCAGGTCCTGATCCAGTGTGCTGGAAGCGAGGTACTGCTGCCCACATGTATGCATCAGGGTTTCTGTCCCACTCTTAGGAGCTCGTAACAGAAGATGTTAAAGGCATCTCAGGCAATGAAAAACGTCTAATAGAAGCTCTATCTTATAATTTGTGAGCTACTTTTTATTCTTGACACAGGAGAGAGGCTTATGGTCTGTTAGAGAGGCTTAGAGCTGAGTGTGGACTTGTTGACCAGTTTGTTCCAGCTGAAGTCAGTGTGGCCTGAAACCCACGTGAACTGAAGGATAGCATGCGGAAAGACTTGCCAGGAGTCCCATGCACACGTCTGCACGGAGCTGTATGCGCTTATCTGGCCAGCCACTTTGTACCAAGGCTCGCTCTCACAGGGACCTGCCGCTCTCAGTGCTTTCAGGTCATTATACTTTCCTGTGAAAGTATGCTAGCTGACATATGCTTACAGGAGTCACAGTTTTCTTACGGGTTTGGTTTAAGTGAGAGATCAACTCAGATTTTTGGGACATACCCACCCACACAGTGAAAATCGAGCAGTTTGTTTCATGATTCACATTGACATACATTCAGTGGGTCACTAAACAGGCACTTCTTTTTGAATTTTATTCTACCTCTGCAAAAATAACATGATCAAAACATGCTAAAGGACTCATTTTTGAACACGAGACTCTAAGGAGAAAAAGAAAACTAAAACTTGAAACTTTCACACTGTGTTTTCCTTTCCACCTATAAAATATCACCCCTTCTACATAGTCCTGTAGTTTGGGTACCATAAGAAACCGTGATTGTAAAAACCTCACATCTTTTCAGAAGCAGTTTCTTTTGAATCATGCTCTTTTAAACTTCAATTTTTGGCCGGGTGCGGTGGCTCAAGCCTGTAATCCCAGCACTTTGGGAGGCTGAGACGGGTGGATCACGAGGTCAGGAGATCGAGACCATCCTGGCTAACATGGTGAAACCCCGTCTCTACTAAAAATACAAAAAAACTAGCGGCGTGGTGGCGGGCGCCTGTAGTCCCAGCTACTCGGAGGCTGGAGCAGGAGAATGGCGTGACCTGGGAGGTGGAGCTTGCAGTGAGCGGAGATCGCGCGCACTGCACTCCAGCCTGGGTGACACAGCGCGAGACTCCGTCTCAAAAAAAAAAAAAAAACCAAAACTTTAATTTTTAAATTAAAATTAAATGTGTAAACATTTCCCAAAGTGTGTTCTTTATAATATTAGATCTACACAATGCTGGTGGGTGTTACTTCAAAATGCTTCAGAGTGGTTCTGATCACGACTGAACATGATTAGTGGAAAAGATTCTTTATGACAGAGCTCCTCAGAGACTTGGCTCTCAATGTTCCCAAAGTATGTTGTGAGTCTTCAAGAGGGGGCTATAGCAAGTCGTTCTCAGTGGCTTCTTTAAAGTATGGAAGACTCTTTTCAAGGTGCTTTGCGTAAGCCTAATGTTCTGAGGAATATACTTGGGGAAACTAATTCCTAGGACTGATTACACTTTTGGGGGCCGTAGTTTAAATGTCAACCTGTGAAAAGGACTGTCTGGCATTTTTTTGTCACTTTTTGGATTCTTAGGAACTTTTTTCTTTCACTTATCGTTTCTTTGGCTTTTATCTTACCGAAGCAAGTGATTTTTAATATATAAGTAATACTTTTAAGTCTGATGTAAACCAGGTGATGTTTATGGGGTGGATGAAAACAACACTGCGTTGACATTTGGGAGGTTTGGGAAGTGCCAGGAATTATTAGTAGACCGAAATTGATTTTAACATTTTATCCTATCCTTCCTTTAGCTTAAAGACTTCACCTGTTCACCCCACTAAAATGTATAGGTTCTCTCCTTTTTCTCTGAACCAGAAAAAGAAAATTTTAGCTTACCTGAAAATAATCACAGAGCTGAACTCCTTAACCAGATATATTTTCAAGATGTTACACAGGCTAATTGTGACTGCAGGATCTTTTAATCATTCAGTTTAGTTTCTTACCTTTTGTTTTTTGAAGAATTTAGAAATCCTTCTCTTTACCTATATGTCAAAGCTGTCTCTTAATCATATATTAAGACTTAATAGAGAATTTATCATAATTGTTTCCATTTAATTTACCTGATAAAACTTGACAGAAATACCTAAATGAGAAATACCATGTGATGTTTCATAGGGTCTAGTATAAATAAGTATTTGTGCTCACATTTGTAAGTAGATGTTTTTTAAGAAATGTTTTGGGTTTCTTTTTTTGTATTAGGAAAAGAATGAAAGATATCTTCTACTCTTCCCAAATGTTTTGCTAATGTTGTCTGCCAGTCCTAGGATGAGTGGCTTTATCTATCAGGTAAAACACAATCTGAATTTATATTTTATTGTGGATCTGAGGATAATTTCAGGCTGGCTTTGAATTTTGTGTTAAATATTACATGTATCTGTGTATGTGCTGTGTGTGTAATGCCGTATGTTCAGATATGGATGTATGGCTCCTGTTTATGTTTCGCTGTGACTATGCAAGCATATCCTATGTTAATTTTAAAAAAGGAAAGAAGTGTAAATGTAGAGCAACCTCATAAGGACACAGACGACTGTGGCACAAGTCAGCCTCTGTCATTGCCTTCTGTCATTTCATGCAAAATACCTTGCTGCTCCTTGCTATAGTTTTGTTCTGTGAAATGGGTTCAGCTAGGGCTTGTGGGTTAGTGGGGTAGTGTAGACTAAGGTCTTGTGTCAGTGGCACAGCACTGCCCAAATGCATCAGCAGATAGAAAGTGATGTAAGTATGTAAGTAGCAGTGTGTGATCGTTCAACCTTTTTAATTTTTGTTTCCCTGCTTTTCTTGGAGAAAATGTGACGGCGGATTTGAGAAGGAGGTGCAAGGGTGAGCAGGGCCTTTTCTGTTATGACAGTGGTTTATAGTGCTGGTATGTGAAGGAGCTGGTATTTTTGCTGTCTAGTAGATGCACTTGTCAGGTTTCATTCTTTTTTTTCTGTGAAGTAATAGAGGCTCATATCCTTCCCATCAACTTTCTGAGGACTGGCCAGTCACCACATAACCACTGCAGCAGAAGCCACCACTTCGTGTTCCCTGGGTTGCGTTTCATTGTAGCATGTGTTGTTTTGTGTCGTCCCAGCAAGGGCATTAGAGAACCCTAAGCAGACACTGTGCCTTCACAGAAGCTTTGTCGACCACCCAGAGAGGACTTGTCGTCATACGCTTACTCTGAAACGGGTGCTTTAGAATTGATGAATCACATATATAGGAAAAGACTCAGGAAAATAAGGCTGTAGTTTGTAAGGCCACTGCTGAAGAGAGGTGATCTGTGGCTAAGGTGGTGCCCACTAGAGTTTTCCAATAAACTAGCAGCTACTTCTTTGTTAAATGACCTTGATAAACCTAAATCTCTGTCCTTTCTGGTCAGCACTATCTGGCTTCCTGTTTTATATCCCCAGAGTCTCATTCCAGTGGCTGGAGACAGGAGCCTTCTCTAGCCTAAGGGAGAAGAGGTTGCCACTCGTGGCAGACTTGAGTCTCTGCCTGTGGGACTGGGGCTCACACTGGCTTTACCCTTGACGTGCTGACAGACTGCTGGGGCTCATCTCAACAGGATTCTATTTTTCCGTTGTTAGTACAGTGGTGAGCCATGGTCTCTGTATCATCAGTCTTCATTTCTACCATTGGAACACTGGCTTTGGGGGATGCTAAAAAGTGTTCGATCCAGCCACAGCCACAGTGCTCTGTACACCGATGTTCCGCTGGGCTAGGTTAAACACGGTTGTGCAGTTTCGTTTTCTGTAGCACTCACAGCTGTTAAAGTACTTACATGCATTGTGAATCTTGGAAAGGAGTTCACAGTGTGTAGCATTTTTAAATACGCTTGGCCACAGAAGTGTCCAGCAGTCTCCTCTTCCACCTGCCGTGCTTTAGGATGAGATTTCTCCACCTGGGCACTGCTGACGTTTTGGACTGGATCATTCATGGCCCGGGGCTGAGTGCTCAGTGAGACTGTCCTGGGTACTGTGGGGTATCGGCAGCCTCTCTGGCCCTTACTTGCTGGATGTCTGAGCCCCTGCCAGGTTGTGGCACTGCCACCCATTCTCTGTGGGGGCACGTTCCCCACACCCGTTGAGCAGCACTCCCACTGGAGGTGCTCATGCAGAATCTCGCTCCGCAGCTGATGGAGTGCTCCCCAGGCAGCACGACCCAGACGCCACTGCCTCTTCCTGAGGACTTGGTGGGCCACCGTGTACTGTGGTTTCTGTCAGCTGCGCCAGGCTGTTTTGTGTTCACTTCTGATTTGTTTGTAATGATCACTTTGTACCCCGTTTCTGGTGTCTTTTCCATTGACATTTCCTGTTGCAGTTACTGATTTCTTCCATTTTCAGGGAGCATTGGTTTGCCAACCATTTTCTGCATTGTGTGCAGCATTTAGCACAACTACTTATTTTCTGTTTGGTGGATTATAAAGTAGAATGTTAGGCAATTCTTGTTCTTGCCTCAATTTCCCACCCTTATTTTGACTTTAAACTTGGAGCTTCCTCTGTATTTCTTTATGAGGCAAATACATGCTGCTTTTCTGCAAAAACATCATTTAAAACAACTGTTACACGTGGTAGTTTTTTAAAAATCATAATGTGAGATTTTTTTGTCCTGGTGTCTATTTAGTAGCAGCTCATCAGATGCAGTGTGTGTTTGGGCTTGTCAGTCTGTCCCTTGTCGCCAGTTGAGTTTCTTGCTTACAGTACAGTATTATGATTTATTATTTGAGATAAAGATTTTTGTATTATACATGCATCTGCTACAAACGAACTCTTTTTGGTTCACAAACACAGTTCCTCCACCAATTCTAAAATCATTTAATATTACTTTAATAATGGTACCTTTTTCTAGAAAAGCACTAATTGTTTTTTTTTGTGGGGGGGTCTTTTTTAGGGAAAGCTTCCAACGACAGGAATGACAATCACAAAGCTTGAGGACAGTGAAAACCATAGAAATGCATTTGAAATATCAGGTGATAGGCACAAGCTGTGTGAGTGCCGTGTCTCGGGGAGGAGAGGCAGCTTGTCCCCGCGTGCAGATTCTTGCTTGCATATTTCAGAAGGTGGTGTTTAAGCGTTGAGTGGAATTCTGGGGGCTGTGTGTGCATGCACGCGCTTTTTACCTGTGTTTCCACTCGGCCTATTTTTTCCTTCTCTCCTCTAGGGAGCATGATCGAGCGGATATTAGTGTCATGCAACAACCAGCAGGATCTGCAGGAATGGGTGGACCACCTACAGAAGCAAACGAAGGTCACATCTGTGGGAAACCCCACCATAAAGCCTCATTCGGTGCCGTCTCATACCGTAAGGACCTGGCGCTTCTCCTCCTTCCAGACTCCAGGCGTGGCATCCCGTGGCTGAACTGTCAGCAAGTGATCACGTGCTTTAAAACCTGATCAGTATTGGGATAAAAATGCAAAACACTTGCTTGCTATTTCTCTGAAAGTATTTGGCCCTCTTTGTGCAGTAGTGAATTGTTTTCCAGTGAGTGTTCTCGAGAAACAACCCTGAATTGTGCCTCCTCACGCACAGTTCAGAGGTGCTTGGGTGGGAAAAGCTGCTTTTGCTCAGCGTGGCCTTAGAAGTCTAATTTAGGGGAGTTTTACACTAAACTGTAGATGATTTTTCTGAGAATTTTAAGTGTTTATTATGCTTCATTTAAGAAAACAAAAATAAATGATTATGATGATTAAAAGGGCCAGATTCATGTTGAAGGCATTAAAATAGAATTTATGACACACTGTTGATTTTAAGAAATTGAGGTGTCTTTTACTTAGAAAAGCTCAGCAACTCTTTGAATTTTTAGAGAATTACAACTTTCCAAGATAGATGAACACTGAATTCGGTTGCAGTGTTTAAACCTCTCCTGGTGTTTTTTGCTCAAGAAGTTGGTGTCGGGTTGTTTTAACAGTCGTCATCTTTGTCAAGTAATACCGAAAAACTGGGCAGAGCTTTTAAAGAATGAGTGGCGATGACATGGCATTTTCAGCTTGCAGATTCCCTCACATCCTTACTAGGTTATTAGGATCAGTTCTGTCGTGTGCTCAGTTTTCATGTTTTCTTCTTCATGGGAAGATTGTAGATCAAGAAGGATTGCTGTATTCTGATATTCTCATCAGTTTCAGAGTCCATCTGATTTCTCTCAGCAGTGTGCAGATAACTACTCATTGGCTTTTAGCTAGCATTTCATCTTTAATGGCTCTGCCGTTTTAAAATTCTCCATTCTTTCGTGGAGATCAGTTTATCCCAGCGACACGTGTACACGTGTGTTTATAAAGAACAGTGGATGAGCTGCTTCACTCAGATTTTCAACAGCAGCCTGAAACTCTACTTCATACAATTTTACATCAAGTCAGCTTTTCTCTGTGGCCAGACCCTCTGTCTTTGTGTTTCTTTCACTGGTGGCGGGGAAGGCACTGTGCCTCATGTTTAAAATGTTCTGCGTTCTCCTACAGAGTTTCTTTTGTGGGATGATGTATTCTCCTGTGATCTAACTCTGTCCAACTGAAGTCATATTCTAATTTTAGCATAAAGCATACTTCCTTTGACTTTCTCAAGAAAGGAGAAACAAAACCAGACACTACTTAACTCTGACGTTGTTGCTAGGAGGGATGTCTTACATAATTTTCTCCATCTATACATTATTTCCTATGAACAGATGACGTTACGGTGGCTTCATAGCATGACCTGTATCTCACATGATTCCCTCCCCCACGCAGGGACTAGAATGTGATCATTGCAGAAAGTTGATGGCATCTGTTCTTGAAATTGTAGCATTAGCTGCTGTGGGGCCTTCCCTCTCAGCCTGTTTTGAAGGTCGTGCACTTCAGAATGCCGACCCCACTCAGGTTTCCAGTTCACAGTGCCACACAGCTTGTTCTCCCATTAAACGCGCCTTACTATTGTTGGCTAATTTGAAGTCATTGTTGGCTGATTTTGAGACTTACTTAACTTTTCTCATTTAACTGTCATTGTGATGGGATATTTCGGGTTTCCCAGGAATATAAAATTCATTAATGACATACCTCCTCTAAGAAGTTAATTTTCAATTAACTTTGTTTTGATTAAAGTTGAGTTTTCTAAGAAAATAACTGATTTTATACCAGGGTTTGGCAGTGTTCTAGAAAGAGCCAGATGGCAAACATTCTCTGCTTTACAGGTTCAGGCCTCTTGCAGCTGTACTCTGCCCTTGTAACACAGCAGCAGCTTTAGACAGGCACGGGCCTGCTTGTGTGCCAGGAAAACTTTTTTAAAAAACAAAACTAGGCGATTGGGCCTTAGTTCCACCCAGTACTTCATCACCAGGTGAAGAATAATACGTGACCGGGGGGAATCACCTTCCTTCTTACAGCCACATGCCCTGTGTGCTTTTGTGAAATTCTCATCTTTTTACTAGATAAAGTACCTTTTTTTCTGTTAATGTTACTCCGTAGCTAATAAATGTGGCTAGTGGATGTCCGAGTGCTGGGGCGCCAGCTAGAGCTGCCCCTCCCGTCTGGGGCAGACACCGTGGGGGGTCCCACGCTCAGCCCAGGTGGCGCGAGCTGGTGCTTGGCCCCAAAAACTACTGAGAGCCAGAGATTCGAAGGAAATGATAAATGATAAATCCTGGGGTTTATTTCACATGGGGTGTTTGAAGAGCGGAAGGAAGTGCGTGATAGTGCCCTTTCACAGTGAGCATGCAAGTCTCACGTTCTCTGCCCTTCCCGCTCTGTGCCCTCGGCAGCTGCCCTCCCACCCGGTCACTCCGTCCAGCAAGCACGCAGACAGCAAGCCCGCGCCGCTGACGCCCGCCTACCACACGCTCCCCCACCCCTCCCACCACGGCACCCCGCACACCACCATCAACTGGGGACCCCTGGAGCCTCCGAAAACACCCAAGCCCTGGAGCCTGAGCTGCCTGCGGCCCGCGCCTCCCCTCCGGCCCTCAGCTGCCCTCTGCTACAAGGAGGTGAGGTCCCTTGACCACTCAAACAGCCAGACGCCGGTGAGCATGCCTTGGGCCCCGAGTGTGCCGGGCTGGTCCCTCTGTACGCAGCAAAATGCACCCCAACTGCTAGAGAACTGAGAAGGGGTCTGCCCTGGTTCTTTGATTATCTCCGCTGCTGCTGAGAGGCCTGTGGTAACCCTGTGTGGGAAGGGGATGTGCAGATGTGCAGGGCCCCTCCTGTCTGTGCCATGCACAGGGAGGCCTTTACTGTGCTTGCCGGAGGAATGTGCTGCCAGGGGCCAGGAGCTGGAAAGGCGCTGAGCCCAGGTGACTTTCCCTCCCCGTGTGTGAGGCCGTCGCTCGGCGTCTGCATGCTGTCAGCTGCGTCTAACAACCCCTCCTCTAGGTTGGGGATCCTATCCAGGAGCCCTGCGTTTTGTCATCCAGAAGCCATTTGAAATGAAGAGAACATTTACCAATACAAATGAAAACACACTTAGGCAGTTTCCCCCTTTGATGCCTAAGAAATCATGATACAGTCTTTGCTTGTCTGTGTTCTCATCCAGCATTTTTGTATTTGCTAGGTGCAAATAAAGTACGATTCTAATGAATAAATATAAGTATTAACACTTTCTTATACTTTCACCTAAGCCAGCTTGGATGAGGAAAGGAAGCGTCTTGAGAAATGTGTTCTGAGAAGTATTTTCACCTGAGGAAGCCGATAATTGAGATGAGCGCTGTTTTCATAAGCAGTTGAGCGTGCATGGTGGTGAGGTACGAGGAGTGGCGGTGAGAGTATGGGTGGCCTGCGTGCAGATATGAGGAGCAGTGCCCACTGGTGGGGTGTGAGTGAGCGTGAGGATGGTGATGCAGTCTTGCCTGGCGTCACGCCTCTGTGTCTGGTCAAGGCCACATTTGCCAAGGGAACTGGAGCAGACTTTTTCTACATTCTTGCCAGCAGCCCTGAGGGTTTTAAGACCCATAGGAAAGTACTGTGTAAGAAATTAGGATCTATGCTTTTCATTTTTTGGTCTTACTGAGTCTTTGTTTTTATGATATCTTTCAGGTAATCATGTGTGCAAGTCAAAATTCTCATTTTCTGTCATGGGAAGTTACTTGAAGAATGTTGGTGTTCCTTATTGTATACTTTAGTGTGCACAGTCTAAAGAAAAAGTGAGCTACTGCAAGAACTGGTGGAGACTGAATTACTAGGGAAGAAAACGGGGATAAAACTGTTGGAAAAAGAAGTAGAAAGGGCAAGGGAAGAGGCATTGAAATGAAGATAAACAATTTGATTTTGATAATCTGGCTGCAGTTGCTTTGCCCACTCCACACTGGGAGAGAAGGGCTCACGCCGAGCAGCTGCTGTCCAGTGTTGCTGAGCGCCACACAGCATTAGCATGGAGAGTGGTCCTACAGAGTACGAGAAGAGGGCGTGGAGGCTCGTGGAGGCCGCTCTGCAGCCTGCTCTGCCTGGCTCTGGTCGTCGGGTGTGCTGTGTGCTTCATGACCCTCTGTGCCCGCAGGTGTCCTCGGAGCACATGGTGGGTGGGCATTGGCTCTTCAAGGCTCTCCATCTCAATTTGCTTTGAATTAGGGAAGCCAGGGAGCACATGTGTATAAATGTGTCTTCTGGAACAGATTGCTACTGCATTTCTGAGAGCTTTGCAATTTTTATAGAAAGATTTTTATTTAACTTTTTAAATGTTACTTTAGATTGAAAGTTTGTTATATGGCTGTATTGGGTGAGGCTGGGGTTTGGGCTTCTAGGGTACCTATTACCCAAATAGGAAACATTGTACCCAATGGGTAGTTTTTCAAAACTTGCGCCCATCACCCTCCCCCTTTTGGAGTCCCCAGGGTCTGCCATTTCCATGGTCATGTCCATGTGTACCCATGGTTTAGCTCCCAAGAAAAGACTTTTAAAGATAACTTTAAAAACCAAGCTTCGTTTCCTCTGTTTCCAGCCTGGTTCATTCCGTAGCGCATCTCATCTTCTGAGTCTTGGCTTCGCCTGTTAACGTTCGCGATGGTTTATGTCACTGGCGTGGTGCAGAAACCAGCCTTTTTTTGATATCGGTATTTAACACGTGCTTGATAGTTGACACCTTACCTGCTCTGTTGGACTTGCTTTGCTCACTTTGTATTTTGCTGTCGTCTTCTGTGCTTGTTTGAGAAGCTGTTTGAAGAGGTAAGGGGTGGGCGGTTCCGTTGTGAACACGCCTCTGAGCTAGTATGCGTGTGGCCCCTGCAGAACAGCCCCGGCTGAGCTTGGCTGTGCACCTGGCACTCAGAGTCGGGTAGCTGAGCACTCGCTCCCTTTTCTTCTCCCTGAGACTTCAAATAGTTTCTTAAAGCGATTATTTTTTACTTATCTGTCATTTAATGATGACCTTAGTTTCCTCTCGTCTTTCCAGTTAGCTGTACCGGGGGGTGGGTCTGCCCCAGGGAGCCACTGCTGCCCCCTCCCCTCCTCCCTCAGGAGTGTGCAGGATGTCTGTGCACACCAGCGCCAGCCTGCCTCCTGGGGACACCTCTCATCACAGAACTAACAGGACCCAAATGGCACGAGGGGTTTTATCAGAGTGAAGAAAAAATATTAGCCAATGACTAATACTGAGAATGCCCTATTGATTTTTAAATTAACGTTCAGAAGCTGGTAAAGAAAAATCAAAATAGGAAAAAGCGAGAAGCTCTTATCAGTGGCTATAATAATTTGGGGTTTTATACCTTTACAGCAGCCTTTCTGATACGCCAGTGAAAATGATTGGCTTTAGAGTATGTTAACATTTTCTTTTCTCTTTCCCTAGGATCTTAGTAAGAGTCCCAAGACCATGAAAAAGCTGCTGCCCAAGCGCAAACCTGAACGGAAGCCTTCCGATGAGGAGTTCGCGTCCCGGAAAAGTGAGTAGCTGCGGCCCGTGTGGAGGAGGATGTGGCCTCCTGGTCACGCAGGCCATGGCATTCATGGGATGGAGGGAGGCTTGGTGGCTTTCTGAAGACTCCAAACAAAAGTAGGGTCTGCCCCTTGAGGCAGTGGTAGGAATAAGTGGTAGTAAACATAACGTTTACCCAAGCAAGCAGGAGAAGTGCCCTTGTGTCAGTGATGAAGTCTCTGTGCCAATTCCAGCGCCACTGCCTCCTAGCCCTTCCTTATCCAGGAGCTGGGGCCAGACCTGGAGGGCTCTCCTGCTTTTCTGGTTCTCCCTCATTGCCTGTAAGATATTCCACCCAAAGATATTCCACCCACACTTCCTGAAGTGCCATCATCTCCCAAAGTGCTCTCTCCATCTGTTAGAAGCATGACCTGCTGTGTTCTCTTGTGGGTTGCACCTGCCCGTGCTGTTCTCGTGCTGTTCTCTCCGCTTTGGACCCGTCCTATCTGCTCCTCAGGCCTAGGGGTCCGACTCAGTTCTGGGTTCCTACGTGGCCTCTCAGCAAGTACCTGGCACCTGTTAGGTGCTCGGTAGATAGCTTTTGAATAAGTGGAGCTCTTGACAGAAGTAAGTGATTTTCCTGGGGGTGACTGCTGGGAAGGGGTACCTGTGAACAGATTGCTGTGGACTGATGGGTGCAACCCAGGGAGAGTGAGCCAGCTCTGGGGAAGTTGCAGGATCTGTCCTGCGGGGCTCTGCCCTGCCCCACCCCATGTCTGAGCTCAGCCTGTGTTGGTCCTGTGCCTTCACTGCTCACTTCCTCCAGCCTCAGGAGGAGGCCCAGCAGCCGTCCCACACACTCACTGTGCCGCACCACCGCTGGCCTCCCCTCAGCCCCACCTTATCAGTCAGCCCTGTGAGGTCACCGTGCTGGAGTGTTCATTATATTCTTGTCCTTGTCACCTGATGTCCATGGCAATATAAGTCACCATGCTGACTGTCTTCCTCCCCAGGTGGTCCAGGCCCCTGACCACCAGGGCCCCTGATGAGACGGTGAGGCCCTGGGGTCTAGCTATTGAAGCGGAGCTGGTGCTGGACGCCTGCTCTGTTGCTTACTGGCTGTGCTGGGGCTTCTCTGTGAGCGAACTGTTCTGTGGGCCCCTTCCTTCAGCAGATCCAGGGGCAGCACTGAGCTGGGCGTGGGGCCGGCTGCAGCTGAGACCATCATTCTTGGGCGCGTGCTTCATCAGCACCTTCATGGGCTGGGTGTGAAGGATGCAGTGTGACCGAAAGAGATCCCTGTTCTCATAGAGCCTGTTTTAGTAGAAGGATACAGACAGACAAAACAAGTGAACAATGTGTGGGCCGTGGAGTGCTGCAGAGACCCAGTAGGGAGGAAAGGTGGGAGATTCGGTGCCAGGGTGCCATTTGAGCAGCCTCCTGGGGCCGAGGAAGCAGGCCCTGCAGGTGTCTGGGGAGGAGCTCTCCAGGCCTGGTCGCAGAGACCTGGGCCGGAACCCCGGGCGGTGCGCAAGCGACAGTGCGCTTTGTGGGCCAGAGCTCCCCTGCGGAGCGGTAGGTAACACGGCGGCCTGAGCAGCAGCAGCGGAGTCCGGTTCCGTGGAGAAGATGATGAGGCCTGGGCTTCCACAGGACCGCGGGCTGCCATGTGGGGAACAGACAGGCACAATGCCCACGTCGACACTGAGGGTTGTCGGCCTTCTGTTTTTGTCTGGCTGGCATGTGGAAACACGAAAATGTTTTAATTTTCATTTCTTGTTTCAGTGAGATTAGACATTTTTTCTTAGAACTCTTTTTGTTTTGTGACTTGCATATTCCTATCTCCTGCCCTTTTTCCAGTTTGAGAGTGGGGATACTAATTTTCTTACGGGTTGGTAGGATAATCATTTCCAAATGTATGTGTTGCAAATATTTTTAAAAAACTGAAAACCTTTTTGAGTATAACTTTCGTAAATTTTGTGGAAAACAGTCATCTGACAAGAAAATGGCAGATTATCTTACTTGTCACTTTGGTCGAGTTGATGCCTGCATTCATCTTGCCAGTTGCACTAGAGGCCTTTCAGTTCGATTGTGAACTGTTGTGCGTCTCTTGACAGGCACAGCTGCTTTGGAAGAAGATGCTCAGATTCTGAAAGTCATCGAAGCTTACTGCACCAGCGCCAAAACAAGGCAAACACTCAATTCAAGTAAGTTTAACAATAATGGCCTGGAAATTGTGATGGTTTATTCTGTTTAGTTTCAAATGACAGTCTGAAGGAACCTGTTGTGGTAGGCCCCTTGCACAGCCCATCCGCCTGACCTCCCAGGAGCGGTGTTTCAGTCAGGGGTGGCAGGCAGGACAGCAGCTGAGCTTCAGGTCCCTAAATTCATGGAGTTGGGTCTGAGCTGTGGGCACAATTGCTGTGTGATTTTCTAGATAAAATTGTACTAGGAAATATTTAAATATAAGCTATTGCCAGAATTCATAATGCTTTTGCTAAGAGAAGATGTGTTTAAAAGACAGTGGAAGATTAGTTCAGTTATTTCAGCTATTTAAGCTATTGGTGTGGTACCGGAATTTTTCATTTTTATTTTATTATTTTTTAGTTTCTTAGAAATATCCAAAATATAAACTTTGAGCAAGGTTTCTTTTAGCCTTTCTAAAAAATAATTGCTTTAAAAAATTTTTTGGAAATTTACAGCTAATTTATTCAGTAGATTTCATGAACCACAGGATTTACCTGTGTCTGATGTATGGTGTCTTAAATGAAAAACTTTTTTTGTATTAAGGTGGCTTTTTTTTTTTCTTTTTGGAGACAGAGTCTCACTCTGTCACCCAGGCTGGAGTGCAGTGGCGCGATCTCAGCTCACTGCAGCCGCCGCCTCCCGGGTTCAAGCAGTTCTCCTATCTCAGCCTCCCGAGTTCCTGGATTACAGGTGCGCACCACCACGCCCAGCTAATGTTTTTGTGTTTTTAGTAGAGATGGTGTTTCATCATTTTGGCCGCGCTAGTCTCCAACTCCTGACCTCGCCTCGGCCTCCCAGAGTGCTGGAATTACAGGCGTGAGACACAGGGCTTGGCCCTGAGGTGCCTTTTTTTAATTTACATTTTTCCTGTGGTGTTGCAAGTGAAGCGCAGCAGGGTGGTGGCTGAGGCAGCGTGCCTGTCATTTACCCTGCTGGCATCCGCGTGCCCAGAACAACTGACGTGAGCACGTGGTGCGGGGCCTTGGACCCCACAGGGTGGCGGCTGAGGCAGCGTGCCTGTCATTTACCCTGCTGGCGTCTGCGTGCCCAGAACAGCTGACGTGAGCACATGGTGCAAGGCCTCAGGCCTTTTCGAGAACTGGATGATTCTGTATTTTCTCAGCACAGAAACTGATTTCTCCTCCATTTTAGGACTTGCTGCCCTTTCCAGCTTGACTGTCACTTATCTCACTTGTTTGTTTTGTTAGTCGCCTGCAGCGTGGTGGTTCCAGTTAGTGTCATGTATTGTTTAACGCTGAGAAAAGGAAAAAGAGGGAAGAGGACTTCTCAGCTGCTGTAGCTTTTATCAAAGACTGCTGCAGCTGTGAAGATAGAATGAGCAGGGTAAACCCTTTGTGGAATCTCGATTATCCAGAAGCTTCTTTTTTTAACCATTTTCAGTATTTTACTGCTATGGTACCATGTCCCGTCTATGACATTAAGACTTTTTGCCAAGGGTCAGCACTGTTGGTTTTTTTTGTCCATACTTTAGTGAAAAATACCCATTCGTAGTGACTGCTTCTCAGGATAGGAGAGAAATAGAGAAACAGAAAGGCGTGAGTAACCTGTCAAAAGGTGGAATAAATACATGTATGATGACACAATAATATCTGAGTACAAATTGTTGTGATGAAAGGTATTACATTTTTATAATTTGATACTGATCATGTTTTAAGTAATAGGCTATAAAATGTGGCCATAAATTTTTGGATTTTGAATTTGAGATTTTTGTTGTCATCTCAATTTCAGTTACTTGAAATAAAATTTTAGCCCAGTAGTCTCACATGAGCAGAGCAGGTTCAGTTGGCCGCCCGCCTGTGTCTGTGAGTTCTGCGTTTGTGAATCCAACCGACTGCAGATCAAAAGTACCCAGAAAAAAGAAACAGTAAAAAGTAACAATATAACAGTAAAAAAAAAATACAAATAAAAAAATAATTATACTTATAACAGCTATTTATATGCTATTTACATTGTATTAGGTACTATAAATAATTTAGAAAGGACTCAAAGTATAGAGCTCTTCCCCAAACAAAGTATACGGGAGGTTGTGTGTAGGTGAAATGGAAACACCATGCCATCTTATATCAGGGACTGGAGGGTCTGAGGACTTTGGTGTCCGAGGGGAGTCCTGGAACCAATCCCCTGTGGATGAGGGCTGACATAGTGCCCAGCTCATTTCTTCATGACCAGGGTCCTGTGATATGCTGTGGCTTCACGGCCCCTGACTGCCTAAGGGGAGTGGCCCACAATTCCTTTTCTTTTCTTGTCACATTGCCTGTATTCTGTATTTCCATTTCTCCTGTGCAAGAAAAGCATTGAATGATACATTGATTTTTGTTTTTAATTCATATTATGGGCAAACCACTCTGGGCTTCAGGGAGCTGATAGTCATATATACCCTTAAACCGAACACTCAAAACTAGGGAGTAATGGGAGAAATTGCTCATTTGTGCTGGGAAGTTGGTATACTTAAGATGCTTGGAAATGGGATCATAATGAAAGCAGCTCTTTTTACATTAAATGCTTAGTAAAACAGGTTTTAGAAGGATAATATATTTTACCTAAAATGCAGCTCTGTTCAATACACACATCTGGATGCCAAGAAGATTTTGTAAACCAAACTTCCTTGATACTGATTTCTAACTCCAGGAAGTAATGGCCCTCATAGCCAGTTATGACGTAGTTCTTGCAGTCTGGGAACAGAGGTCAGTTTGATAGAAGCAGGAGCAGGGAGGAGCCGGGGCTACTGTGGTTTGCCTTCACTCAGCAAGGGGCACCCCCGCCTTTGCATGGAGGGAGACCCCGGCAGCCCGGCCTGCCTCTCAGCCCAGGTGTCTGGCCATGGGCAGTGCTCATAGTTGCCGGCCACTCATGATTATTTCTCTCCTCCCATGTTGTGCCACTTCCTCTGTCATTTTCCTTTTAACACTGGGGTATTGCCAGTTCACGTCTCTCTTCCTGACAGCAGAGGGTCTGCAGTGGGGTGGCCGGCATTGCCAGCAGACCCAGCTTCCCACTGCACCCTGCCTGCGGGCTAAGCTCTGGCGTGCCCTGGGAGCAGGGGGTGGATTCTGGGGCTGTGGGCCCTGGCCAGTCCTTTTCTGCCCTCTGAGTTCTCAGAGTGATTGTTGATTGATCAGGTAAGTCCAGACCCACTCTCAGATATATGGTCTTGGCAAAGCAACAACTGAAGAAGCCCGTCAGAAATCCTTTGAAATTATTTTGCATTTGATACACCTGTTTACTGATAGGAAACAATTTTTAATTAGCCATATAAATGGTACCTTTCCCAAATGATGTCCTAAATGAGACTATTTGTTAATTGAATGTGGAATAGAATTGGTTAATTGCCTCATGTCTATAGAGTCATCTTTCGGACATGGGTGTAATTTGTAAAAGATTTCTTAAATGAGGCCTTTAGAGCAATATCTTTTTTTAAAAGAGCGGTTTGGAAACATTGTATATTAATGGCTTAATTAGATAATAATCGATCTAGTTGTATTCTAAGGGTTTTGCTAAGTTTGTTATTGAAACCCAGCCATATGTAAGGAGAAACATGCATTGTTGCCAATTTTTAACAATATTTTCTCTTTTCCTTCTCTTCCCATCACCTTTTGCTTTTGTTCCATGTTTTGGTTGTGGCTCTTCCTGTCGTTCTCCTCCTCACCCCCTGCCTGTCGCGCCTGTCCCTCCGCCCGCCCGTCTTAGCATGGCAAGGCACTGACCTGATGCATAATCACGTCTTGGCTGATGATGACCAACCAAGCCTAGACTCCTTGGGTCGTCGCAGTAGCCTTTCTCGTTTGGAGCCTTCAGACCTCTCGGAAGACTCTGACTATGACAGTATATGGACAGCCCATAGTTACAGAATGGGTTCTACATCTCGTAAGAGCTGTTGCTCATATATCTCTCACCAGAACTAATGCACTTCTGAGCTTTTCTTAACAAATGCTTGTTGTATCGCAGCCTGCTTTTCTTAGATGTTTTCTTGCTGTTCCTTGTCTCTTTTATGTGATATTTTAACAACTTTTGAGAGTGTTCCTGATATTTCCCATTGTACTTTGTGGAGGCTTAACTGCCGATGCGAGTATACATTCGAATGACTATTGGAGGGAGGTGGTGTGTTCCCGTGAGCCTACACCCGAGGGTGCTCTTCGTAAGGGGTAGTTGTTGTTTTACAGCTCCAAATGTTTTTTTTTTTATTCTCAGTGTAGCAACTGTTTGATTGATTTCTGGATACAGCTGTATGAACACTTTTCTATTTTATACTGAAATCACACAGGTTTGCGATCTAAGTGCCAGAACCATGGAGGAGACTCTGGCCTTTTCTGTAAGGACCTAAATTTTTTAAGTACTGTGAACACTGATGAAGTAGTTGTGGAGAGATGAGAAGAATACATGCAGCAAAGGTGCTGTGAGCCCAGTTCCAACAGCTGTGTTCTGGTAATTGTGCCGAACAGCATGTGGGCTCTGGGCCTTGGCAGGTGCACAGACGGGCGGGCGTCACATGTGTTCAGAGCTTGTCTCCACCTCACGGCTCTGTGCTCTTCCGTGTGCTGCATTGTGGCCATGAAGTGGGAGCTCTCCTTTCCAAAGGCAGAGCTTACTGTCATGGCTCAGATGTTCACTCTCATCGTCACCCCAAACTTCCCTGAATTGCAGTGATTTCTGTTATATGGCACTTAGCAAGCCTACACCACTCTATAGTAAAAACTCTACACTAAAAGTTTAAAGCCCAAAATCTGAAGCATTCAGCCTCTGCAAGTGTAGACTACTAGACTGTATCTGGAGAGGCATTTGGAATACTTAAAAAGTCAAGTGCTGTGGCTTCAGTCCCCCCGGCTCCCCACCCCGACATCCATATTTAACGTTGTCTGGAAGAGCCATGGACACATCATTGTTTTCAGCAACCAGCTGCAGTGAAACTCCGTTTACAGCAACCCCATAGTGTAAAACTGCAATGCTTCATTGTAATGGGATATCGAAATTCACTGAAGAATTACTAGGTTGCCATGTAGCTCACTTATTTAAAAAAAAAAAAATCTCCCCCATTTTCCTGGGATTTGTTGTAAGGAGTTTTCACTGGCCTCACTCAGACCAATTTCTGCTTCAAAAAGAACTGAATGTGACCTGTTGCATTCAGTTGTGGCATCAAATCCACATCTAGTCATTGCTTGAGGGGCCAAACTGTGTTCTCTCCCATGCACGCTCTATTTGGTGTTAAAATGGAACCTTACGGTTGTGTTTTAAGTATTCATTGAAACCAGCTTCAGAAAACAAGATGCCATAATAAATTGAGAATAACATTTTTTCCTTCTTCAGGGTGGCTGTAATTCCAGGTGGCCGTGATTTCTTTCCTCCCCCTCCACCCACTCCTTCGCCAAACCCACGTATTCAGTGTTCTGATCTTGTTTGTGCAGAGTGAACTCTCTGATGCAGCATCAGTCTTGTCCTGGGAGCCGGGTCCTGCTGCTCAAGCCCAGAGCTGCCAGGGAGCTCCTGGCAGTAGCACGTTGTTTAGAAAGTTGGGTGGCTTCATTCAGCATGGAACGAGCTAATGGCACAGGAGTCATCAGGGCAGCTCTTAATTCCAAATATTTGTCTGTTCCCAAGTAGCTACTGAAGTGCTCATGCCATCGGAAGAGTTTGTATTTTCATACCAATTAGTAAAAATAAGAATGTTGAGGAGCAGTCTTCTAAAATTAGTCAAAGCCCAGTGTTAATCTCCGGCAGAGATGGGGTTTATATATGTTCACCCAAATAGTAAATGGAATTTTTGGAGAAATAAGATAGGTACAAAGTTTCTATACTTACTGTAAGTGGATTTAGAGCGATTTTGGTTTTGTATTACATATGGTAGTCCTCTGAGTCCGGGAGCACCTTTTTGTTTGCCTCAAGACTACTCATTAGTGCATTGGCTTAGCTGCCTTTGCCTTCTCGTAGGCATGGATTGCCTGTGTCATGGGCTGTGTAGACCACAACACTCAAACACAGTTGCTGCACTCGGATTTTCCTTTAATATCAAGTATCATTTGGTTATCTTACTGGGACATTTTTATTGATATTCTCTACACTAAAGTTTTCACATTTACCATCATTCCATTTTGTACCAGTTAAAGGCATTTTGATGATGCTTTTTCTTGATGCTAAGATCACTGCAGAAGAATAACCTGACCTTTTCTTTGCATTTATTTTGAATGTCTAACACCATTAGCTTTCGTGACCTGGTTAAAAAGTATTAGTGCCACAAGCCCGAAAAGACAGTTCTCATGTGGCAGTGGTGATATGGCATCCAGAGGGCCAGTGTTTCTACTTCTGTGGGACTTCAGTCATGCTGATAATAGTATCTTCTGTTCATACAATTCTGTAATATTTATGTGTACAGTTAGTATTCTAATGAAAGAATGAAGAGTCTGAACTAGAAGGTAGGTTTAAGCCATCACCAGGCCTTTGCAAATGGCCTAAATGGTGTTCCCTTTAAAGTAACACTTGCCACAAGTATATAATCTATATTAATTGTGTTTTGCATAAAATTGCCAAAACACAGTAATGTGTATATAGTGGTATAAGATCTTGAAAATAATCTCTATAATTGTGCTCTTTATCTGTGAATGGGAAAAGCCATTTTTAGTAGGTGACTACCATTTGAAAAACTAAATTGGATGTATATCTGAATGTTGCATTGTATTGTACAGTATGCATATTATTGTTTGTGGTTGCATATGGCAATGAAGTGTTTGTTTTATAAAAAAAAAAAAAAAACCTGTTATGTACAGTTGAAATAAATTTTGCATTTGCTAGCCCGTGACTTTTAATATTTGTTACATGGGGGAGGGGAATAGCATAGTTTGCAGTTTAATATGATTTGGCTCTTCTACCTGAACGGAACATCTTCCAAAGGCAGGCAGGTGATAGATAGAACCCTTCTGTCTGCCCTGATAGAAAAGCTTGCGCTCTCTTAAGTCAGCTGTGTTCTGGACGAGACAAAGTCACACCTTGTACGTTTCTTATTTCATCTCTTTCCCGTTTCTTAAGCTTTCAGTCACTGGCCGGTTTGTCTTCAGAAAGAAGCATTATTTTTTGTTTGTGTGCATAAATGGGAAAAAGCACAACTTTAAAATTGTTTTATTTAGACTAAGGCCAGTTTTAAATTTTTGTTTTATAAAGTGCTTGTCCAGCTAAGAAGAGAGTAATGAAGCAAAATAAAGGGAAAGGAAACGAAGCACCTGGTGGCAGGTATAGTGTTAGGACAAGGTGCAGACAGTAAGTGCAGAAAACTCTGTCAGCACAAGATGGGAGTTTTCCTAAGAAAAGGAAATTAGACCCGTAGAGCCATAAATAACAAAATGGCCTGGATGACTTTTGGAGAGATCTTACTAAGTCGTTTTTCTTTAAGTGTAGTCGTAGTGTGCTCCACGGTGGATGTTACTTGATTTTCAGTTGATTAGAGATGCAGATTTTAGAAAAGGTAATGAATTTAAGAAGAGGAATTATCCTGCCCATGTCCTAGATCACTGGCAGATGTTCTTTACCCTGTTTCTAGGCATTTGGTACAGGCAGGCCTGCACACGCATGCATGCACACCACGCCGGTGTCTGGACTGGACAGTTGCGCTGCATTACTCCTGAAGCAGTTAGTTGTGTGTCGTCAGATAAGCCCCCAGAATGGTGTCTAACAGCCAAGCATGGCAGTCGCGAGCCAGCACTCGGGGCCCCAGGGGTTGGTTGATCACCACTGTGTTGCTGCTGTGGCAAGTCGTCTCGTCTATAAAATGAAAATACTGGATTAGATCTGTGTTTCTTAAACGAATCTCCATAGTTGTCTACAGATGTGTGACTATTTGGGGTGGGGGAGGGTCAGTGTTCTCAGACATCCCTAAAATGTTAAGTTTTGTGCTCATGTTAACACACACGTGGACCAGGCTTCCCTGGATCACACCTCTGAGTGAGTGTTGCTGTGGGGTCCCAGTGCCCTCTGGGGTCTCCAGTCATGTGGCACACAGCAGCCCCTAAGAGTGGAATGGTTGCTGCAGAATTTTTCAGCCCGGGGCGGGCAGACACTGAGCATCTACAGGCACATTTTTGGGTCCTCGAGTTTGAGAAGTGCCGGATTGATGTTAAGTATAAATTATTTCATTATATTCATGTTTGTCTTATTCCTACCTCCATATGGAAATAACCAACCAGCTGTTCTGTGTATGTGGTTATAGAAACAGACAGATTATAAGCTGATCTAGCACTTCTCAAAATGTTAGCCACAAAACCACAAGATGTTAATAATGATGTTTAAAAGAAAAAAGTTCACTCAAATGCATTTCAGAAATGCTGAATTAAAGTTAAGCGAGTGTTTTTATGGCAGACTTCATCAAAGCCTGTATTGTGCTAAGGGCGCACTGTGAATCTCCAAGAAGTATAGCCCACAACGTTTCCCAAAATGATGTGTTGTGGAACCCCTCTCATTTCCCAGAAACAAAAAAGTTTGGGAAACACAGATCTTGACTGTGCTAGAACCATCATGAATGTGTTCATCTATGTCTGAGCCTCTGTTACGGATTTTAAATAAAGTGAGAGAACATTATCTGATAATTCTGCTGTTAAATTGTTTTTCCAACCTAGGTAACTCAGGGAAAAAATGTGCTACGATGCCGCTAAAAACACTTCAATAATTTCTGAGATAACTTGTTATATCTGCTTTCTAAAACATTGTTCTTTAAAGAAATAGTCAACTTACGTAAACCTGGCCAGAGAACATTCCTTTGTTGTTTTTTGAAAGGCAGTAAAAATTTTTCAATCATTTTAGAAAAACTGTATATTGAAAACTAGGCAGATTATTAGAATTGCATGATTTCTAGGCGTGTTAATAATCCTCATTTACAAGCTGCCTAGTTTGCCATCAGATCCATAAATGGCATTTTTCACATTAGTGCATTTCAGGAATCAAGCAGTACATCCTGTCTGTGATACGTTTTCCAGCTTACATTGTGTATCACTAAATCCTTCTCACATGCTTTAAGTGTAGCTGTAGAAATAAGACCTGTGCCATGCATATACAGTAATTGTACCAGTTCTTACAGGCTTAGTTCCTCAAATTATGTTACATAATGGAAAGACTTTTACCTTTATGGGTTCATCTGTTAAAAGATATTTACAAAATACAATATTTAAATCCTCAGAACAGCTCTAGAGAAGCAGATTTGTTGTGCTTTGTAAGTAATGAAATTGAGACTCAGTGCTTAAGTGATGTGCGCAGGTTAACTTAAAAGACTCACCACTAGGGGCGTCCCAGCTCTGGCTGGAGGCAGTGGACACGTGGCTCATGGCCTCACAACTCCTGTAAAGTCGACCCTGTGTCTGACCCATTTCTTTACAAAGTTGACATTGTTTGTGATCCTATTTTATGTCATTCGAAAATGTTAATGCTGGAAACAGATGATGTAAACAGGTTGTCTAGGAAGCTAGAAGAGACAAAAATAATTGAAATCCAGAATTTAATCTGCCTGATCCGCAGTTACATGACTTTTTCCTGTGTGTCTCATTAGCAAATCCATTTGAAGAAATGTGTTGCAAACAATGTGAGATACACAAGTAATACTTTTGTGAATCTGACTCTGAAACAGTCATCCACTGTCTGGGCTCAAAGCAGGACAGCTGGATAACTGGCGGGAACATTAGTTGACTGAAATGTGGGATCTTATCAGTGGATTTCTCTGCAGGGAAGAGTAAGTGGAGCCATTGGATTTCTTCACATGTGGTATAAATATCAGAATCTTTATAAGTATTCTGGATTTTCTTTCATTATTTTCTCTCTTTTATTTTCTATGAAATTCTTTTTCTATTTTGGGCAAATAGCACATGAATTAACGTTTTCTGGTAGGAACAAGGGTACCCTTTGCGTTTGTATGAGAAACACTGGCAGCTTCTCCCCCTGGCTAGCACTGCACGCTCTGCTGTAATATCCCTCACACATCAGTTTCCTTCCTAAGCAGTATCTTCCCGTGTGGCCCACATGTCTTCTCAGCAGCATTACCTGTTAGCCAGGAACGGCCCACCACCCTCAGGGTCCTCTCCTGTGGCCTCTTGGAGCACAGGCACCTGGAGTGGCAGGAGTCCTCGCAGCCCAAAGGGTCGTCTCCGCCCTTGTCTCCTGGACCTGTGGAGATTCCTAGGGCTGATACTACCAGCCTAATGTTTTTAAAAACGTCTTTCTGAAATCATATCTTGCAGTCCTGTCTGAATCTTCTGTCTGAAAAGTTATTCCCGAGACATAGGTCACTGTGTGTGCGGGTGGGTGGACTGTGACCCGGGGGACGCCTGTGAAGAGCTGGGCCCCTGCTCCTTCCCTCCGTGACAGGGTCAGGTCTGCTGCTGCCAGCTGGTAGCACAGTGGAGGCGCAACAGCATGAGGGGGAGGGATGGTTGCCCACTTTAACACAGACACAGGCGTGCCAGCCATGGCTTGTGACTGCATTTTAAGTGCTGCATTTGATCCTAAGATCCTGCAGTTACCCTCATTTCCCAGTATCGGTGTGGCGAGTGTCTCCTGAAGCTCGTGCCAGGTGACAGAGTGGCACTTGGTTGCTTTCCCCAGGACTTAATCTTATGCCTGAGAGGATGAAGGAGCAGTGTCTTGATTTTGTTCAGTCCCTGAATTTCCAGTTTCCCAGGGGTGCCATTCTGAGGGGTGGAGCAGGTTTTGCACACGCACGAGGGGCAGCACCTGGCCAGTGGCCTCCAGTCCTGGTTCCTGTTGCATGCTGCTGTGGAGATAGCAGCGGTGCCCTCGCGTGTCAGGAACGTCTTAGGAGCCATCTTAAGCTTTGGCATCATCCTTAACCTTGTTCACTCAGAGGAGCCTAAGCGTGTGGTAAAATGCAGGTGAAGCCATTATTTAAAATCCCATCTTCATAAAACATTCGTATGTATCGAGCTTTCCTGTGACAGTGACGCTGCGTAGCACTGACACGCTTTTAGGAACACACAAAAGGCGAGCCAGAAGAAAGACCCAGCAAGTGCAAGCACCGTGTCCATAGTTAGCATGTCTCAAACATGCGTGTCCCTTCTTCACGGAGAAATGTTTATCACAGTACCGCTTACAGGCGTTTGTGTTCTGTGGTAGAGCATAGTCTTCTGATTTGCATCTGGTATAATTTTCAAAAATATAAATGATACACGTTATACTGTATGACCTTCAAGAAAATATTTTCTTGAAGAAAAGATTTTCTCCCTGCATCATTAAATACAATTTGATTCTTTTCCTCACCTTTTAAAATGAGTATTTTGATTTCCTGATTTCTAAAGTACGTATTTTGCAACATTTATTGAGGGCCTGTCCCATATAAACTCTTGTGCAGGTGTTGGTTAAATGACACAAATGTTCCTCTGACATTGTGAGCAGTTTGCTTTCATTTAGAAAAATGTTTATTTTATATTTTAGGAAATATAAAGTTTTCATAAAGGACCAAATGTTATTTTTTCTAAACCATGTGCTATGATGCTGTAATATCTTGATTATTAAATGTTGCTGTAGAGTAAAATGTTTGTATTGCCAGATCTTGGATTTATAAACACTCACTGTGTATGTTCTGATTGGTCTCATATGTCTTTGCTGAAACTCTTGCAACAGTGGCTCAAAATGGGATGAATAGCCAGAGCAGTATGGTCACAACCTGTAACCTCCTCCCTGTTGAAAATGCTAAGGTTTAAACAATCCATAATTCAGATTTTTAAAAGGCTACAGTTTCCTTTCCTCTCTACGGCTTTGGTCATGAAGGGGCCTGGGCTCAGTAGACAGGGGTGAAGAAACCTGGTAAAACATGCCCTCCTTTAGCCTGGATGAACATTTTTAAATGCATAGTTGATAGAACTTAATATTTAAGTGATGTTGTATAGTCATTTTTCTTCATTCTGCCATGGTGTTCGCCCGAGGTTGATTGATTATTTTTTCATGCTCCTAGGTTCACGCAAAGAATCTGCTCCACAAGTTTTGCTTCCAGAAGAAGAGAAAATTATAGTGGAAGAAACTAAAAGTAATGGTCAGACAGTGATAGAAGAAAAGTAAGATGTCTTCCAGTATTCTAAAGCAGGCATTTGAGCTCTGCAGTGGGGTAGCAGAGTTCAGACAGCTCCCTGAGGGCGGGGGTGTGGCTTCGGAAGCTTCACTTTGTTTTTTTTTTTTTGAGACGGAGTGTCACTCTTGTCACCCAGGCTGGAGTGCAATGGTGCGATCTCAGCTCACTGCAACCTCTGCTTCCCAGGTTCAAGCGATTCTCCTGCCTCAGCCTCCCAAGTAGCTGGGATTACAGGCCTGCGCCACCATGCCTAATTTTTGTATTTTTAGTCGAGACGAGGTTTCACCCTGTTGGCCAGGCTGGTCTCCAACTCCTGACCTCAGGTGATCTGCCCACCTCGGCCTCCAACTCCTGACCTCAGGTGATCTGCCCACCTCGGCCTCCCAAAGTGCTGGGATTACAGGTGTCACCCCCCCCCACCCCACCCCACCCCCCCCCATGCTCACTGTTCATCCCCCTGTGATGCGTTCTGTTCCTGTTTTCAGAAGTCTGTGGATACCGTATATGCATTAAAAGATGAAGTTCAAGAAATAAGACGAGTATGATATAATCCAATCAACAACTTTCAATCTTTTTATATTTACTTGTTCAAATGGGGAAGAAAAAAACCAATATTAAATAAGCCGCCGGGTGTAAAAGGTGGCTCACACCCCAAACAACAACCCCCACCAAAAAAAACCGAATCCGCACTTTAGGAGGACAATGAAGTGGCAGAATCACCATGAGGTCCAGGATTCAAGACCAACCTCACCAATGGTTGCAAAGCCCATCTCTTACTCGAAAATTACAAAATTCAGCTGGGCATGGAAGCAGTGCGTGTAACCCCAGCTACTTGGAAAGCTAAGAGGAGATCGCTTGAACCCAGGAGGCGGAGGTCGCAAGTGACTGAAGATAGTGCCCACTGCACTCCAGCCTGAGCAACGAGTGAGAACACTCCGTCTCGATATAAAAATAAAAAAGCCTGGGCCCGGGAGCTGCCAGGTGGCTCAAGCCTGTAATCCAGCACTTTGGGAGGAGCCCCGAAACACGGGCGATCACGAGGTCTCAGGAATCGAGACATATCCTGGCAACACGGATGAAACCCCGTCTCTAACTATACAAGAAAAATTACCGAAAGCGAAGGGGCGGCGCACTGGGTATCCCAGCTAACTCGGGAGACTGAGCGCAGAACAAGAATAGACCTACGGGGGCGACTTGCACGTGAGCCGAGAATCCAGCGCACTGCCCCAGCCTGGCCGTTAGAAGCGGGACTCGTCTCAAAATAATAATAATTAAATAAATAAATAAAA